GCGCGCACTCGAACCGGCACACATTTTTCCATCGCGATGGGTCCCTCGAATATCCAGAAGGCAGTGTCTACCATTGCATTTTTGCCTGCCAGGCATCAAGGAGAAGGGCTTCCGATTCCAATGAATGTGGACCCTGTTGGAATAAATAGGATTTGGGTGCCACTTTGCCAATGTAAGACCCATGGGTTTCAGGGGGTCTACTCCTGTAGGAGCCAGCATCTGACTTAAGGCTAGGACTTTTGAATAGGTGGCTGCAAAACAGACCCATGCTGTTTTAGGGTGCATTGACAGAAATCTAGTCTCCAAATCCCGCAAGGTACTAGTTTCCCTCTGTTTGGCATTGGTTAGACCACCTCTGGAGTCCTTCTTATCTCTTCTCAATGCCCTACTCAGCTCCCTCTCCACCCTCTTTCATGTGCTTATTTATTTAAAATATTTTCACCTTTCCTTTCTCCTCAAAAGGACCCCAGGCTTGGTTTTCTCGTCTACATCTAAGACAGTGGTTCCCAACCTTGGGTCCCTAGATGTTCTTGGACTGCAGCTCCCAGAAATCCTGTCTGACGCCGCAAGTAGTGAAGGATTCTGGGAACTGTAGTCCAAGAACACTTGATCAAGGGTGTCCAAAAGGGGACACAGAAGACCAGGTGAGTTCTGATCACATCAAAACAAAGTAGTACGCTTAGATACCTTGATGTGGACTCCAGGCCTGACGCCACCTTCCAGTCCATGGGCATTCCTCTTTATTTTGCTACTGCATTGCACAGTCAGTTGCTGAAGGCCTTAAGTTCTGGAATCATGTGAGTCAGTCTAGAGAAGATTCAAGGAATTCCATCCGCCCATAAGATTCCTGGATTTTAGCCAACCACTTGTCTCGTCTCTTGTCTCGTCTCAGCTTTCCACCAGAAGAGACAAAAGTTGGGACTTGCTGGCCCACCTTCATCTCCAAATGATGACACAGTGCGAAGGGCTCCTAACCAGCCAAAGGTGAGGTCACCTGACATGCTTGCATGGCATCATAATTCTGCTTTGTGAAAACAGAGAGAAAATCCTTTAAAACAGTGGTCCTCGATCTTGGGCCTCCAGATGTTCTTGGACTTCAACTCCCAGAAATCCTGGCCAGAAGAGGGGGTGGTGTGGGCTTCTGGGAGTTGTGGTCCAAGAACATCTGGAGGCCCAAGGTGGGGGACCACTGCTTTAAAATTCTAGCTTTGTCACTCAGGGGTTGAATTTGCAGACGGAGGACTGGAGGGAAGGATTGATCATGTCCTCCAGAAGTTCCAGGTCAAAAAGCCCGAGACCTTCCCGGAAAAGGAGTCCTGGATCCTCAAAATCCAGGAGCCCGGGGCCAAGAACAGCAAGACCTGGATCTCAGACATCTTCCAGAGAACGAGGTGGTACCACAGCGAGGTCTAGAACTCCAGAAAGAGCCCAAAAGGTCATCAAAACAGGAGCCGTGGTAATAGATACTGGGACCGGGACCTGTAAAGCCGGGTTTGCAGGGCAACAGACCCCTCAGGTGGTCCTTGAGACGGTGGTTGGGTACCCCACAGAGAAATCCATGAGAACCAGAAGAGATCGACCAGATACCTTTGTTGGGAAGCGCGCCCGGTTGGAGACCGAC